CCCCAGCTTCAGACTGTTTTCGTGACAAAGGTACCACGCGGAGGTTATAAAACAACACCACGATGACTAAAGGACGTAACGGAATTGATTTCAAAAGCAAGGCGTAATATATCCTCCAATAAAAAGACTTTCAGAAGTCAAATGAACAAACCACTAGATGGCCAAACCAGAGATGCATTTACAGACTAGATAATAAGTAAATACTTAAGGGAACATCCATGTCTATGTCTATATCTTAACGAAGATGTTACGTATTATGAACTACGTAGTCTACGTATATGGATATGCTGCAAGATATGAACAACACAGCTAATACCTAGGTTTCTTCTGAAAACATCATTGTCAGTTTAAAAGGTTCAACAGAACGGAGTTGTAATACCAGACAACGTATCAGTGATCAAAGATTGAACATCTAACGGTTCATGTAAAGGGAGGCTTTACGACGCATATTAGGTCAGCTAATTGAGACCTTTCAAATTGATCTACTATAGTCAAAGGAAGTCATAGTTATTATACATGTATATATGTGTATGCAATTTTTCTAATGTGTAGATATATTGTCATGATTATGGTTACATTCAAACATATAGAATTACCGGGTTGCGTATATAAGAAAACATTTCTCCGGCACAGTATATACTCCGAGATCGAGATAAAATTATAAAAAATCACGAAAGAGAAATAAATAAAAACTCCTTTAACAAAAAAACTCTCCCACAGACTAGATTTGAATGACATATCATTAAGGCCAATAAACTGACTGCCACACATGCGCTAATAAACTACAGAAAAAAAGGTAACCGCATTCGGAGATAATCAGTTTCCGCCTTTAGCACTACTAATAACCTTAATTATATGGAATGCATTGTTACAAAACAATATTGTGCTTTAAAGCAGAAATGCTTACTGCACTTGAAAGTTCTTCAAAAACGTCCCAAACGTCACAATTTTGTCAGATTGAATCTTTAAAACGAATTATATCAGACATCTGCTAAATGTTTAACAGACTGCATGTTATGATTGTTGTATCAGGACATAGTAAACGTCAGTTTGTTTTCGTATACATGATATCGTCAAGCTGTTAGTGTTCGGGACTCCGGTGACACTGGTTAATCAATACATACTACAATTACAGTGAGGTGGTGTGATTAGTGACACGAATCAATACACTAATCACTATACGTTACGACTTCATTATCGAAATTAGTCCAGTCAAGTTCGAAAATATAGAAGGCGACATCCCGAAATTCAGTTGAGCACCGCCATTTGGTAACATGTATAACATGCTTGTCTATTACATTCACCAGTGGTATACTGGGGAAATAGTTTGATCCATTTTATCACTGGTTGTCTTTTAAGTGAAATATTGATTTGTTGTCGATTTCAGTAATCTTGAATGACCTTGACATAACTACTTCTCCCATTCTGAAATTGCAGTGCTGCGAATACCGGACGCCGTATTCACTTCTGTAATGCATTTTCACTTCAAATCCCAAGAGTGCACTAACAAAATTCACAAGCAAGGATGTATACTAATTCATGAGTAAAACACGATAGACAGATAATTGGATTGGTGCCATCAATTTATCGTTATGCCTCCGCATGTTAGATATTGATTATTCATCTTAACATTTAATGTAATGATGAAATTAACTAATTACCATATTATTTTCTTTTTTAATTCCGACTACGGATTTTGGAGATTACTTATTCGGAATGACCTTTGCAATTCAGTACTCTTTTGTAGTGTAACTAGTAAGTGATAATTTGAAATTGCAAAAAAGAATGATCTTATCTCTCGTCCTGAAATAGCATGCCGCGTGTATAAAGCATGCATATACAGAGAAATGTATTTAGTTTTATTGGCTGCCCGCTGTTAATGTCTACTTTGGAATTCCTATTCCATTACGTTACCAGTTTGTTTCATCGCTGTAAGACGTTTAGGGTTTTAGCAAAGCATCTTATCTCTTCGTGAACAGTTTCGATAAGACAGAATGCTGGTGAACCTAGTTTTGCCTCTATAACATATCTGAAACACACAATCTGTTTTACTGATGAAAATGTTTGGTTATTCAAACTCCCCATAATATTTTTAACCAAAAAAGTAAGACGTTGTCAAGGAACACAAATGTTCTTTTAACCTGTGCATTATCCTATCCACTCCTAACCACTCCTGATAGCTTTTATAGTTAAAATGTATGACTAAGCCACTTTCTGATTTTGATGTATGAATTTAATAGCATCACGAACATATGCAAATCAAACCAACCGTTGCTTACAGGTCGTTAACATATACTGTGGAGGTATGATTTTGTAGTCGTAAAACTGTTATCACACTAAAAATCAGTTTCTGTGCCGAAGCTTAAATGTCACATTTTAAAGAGAATGAAAGTTCAGTTTGAACAGCAGAACGGTTTTGATATTAAGGCTTCATGGCATCACAAGGACCTAGATAAATGTTTCACGACCAGTAGTTTGACTATTTCGGAATCCATTTTATCATTTGATACTTTTTTTTTAGTTTTCCAATCTTTATATTTTGAAAAAAAACCACGTTAAGCTGTACTTGTATCATTAAGTTGTGATTTTGGGTTGCCAGAGGAGACAGACCGCACTACTGTATCACAAACTTCTGATAGGCATACTGCTGCGTATAATTTCTAAGTTCATGGTAAAAGCCTTCCTGAAAACAAAAACAAAAAAAAGTAGTGAGTTTGAGAAATATTTGTGATTCAGCCAACAAATATTTCCGTATGTGTGCAGCACTAGGAGGCTGGAGTCGCCGTAGCTTCACTACTGTGATGGCCAATATAATAGATGTATTTATGTTCCCTACATGGCCAAGGTGGTGATATGCTGGCTTATATCGAATTCGGATTTCAGAAACAACTGATAGCGAGAATTAGGCCGATGCCAACATGTCTATTATTTCTGTTTTTGTTTTTCAAAAGTTTCTCATGTTTTGTTTGTTTCACATCAATTTTTCTTTTCAAGACAAGCTGACATTTTACAATTTCCGTGCTTTACTTTTATACACTCAAATCATGTCACAAAGAAATACGTCTTTCTGATAGGTGTTCATTGTCATCTTTAATCATTTAAGTAACAGTATATTATTTATGTTTATTTAGAAACATATCATTTTCAGCTACAACTTTTTCTAAATCTACATCTGAAATATTTTATAAGCATAATATATGAATTATTTGAATTTTGTACTATACAATTTTAAAACCACAGCGTTGATCATTTCAAGGATTTCTCCTCACATGAAACAATTCCAAACCTGTCAAAAAAGGTATGATCGCTGAACTTCATATTTGATCTAGCCTAGAAAAAAACAATCTACACTGACTAATGCTTAATGGCAATGTTACGCAGAGTGTCTGGTATACATACATTTATACCAATTAGAAAACAAAATATTACGACTCAACATTTCTTACGAATATGTTCACTGCTTTCGGCTGACAAAAGACATTCATATCAGTCGAAAATCGCGTACAGACGTCGATATATATATTCTTTGGTTTCATACAACCTTGTTAATAATGTATAGTGTGGTATGCGTTCCACAACAGCATGATAACTGCATATGAACGTACCAAGTGAGGGTATTGAAACTTCTAGCATGTTCAGACAAATATGCATAGAATGTACCAGGGGAAATGAAATCTCGTTAATGTGTTTTTCCTGATACATTCCTTTTCCCTCCCGGCGGTGCATCGTGCTTTCACCATGTGTCGTACATGCCATTCATTAAGTTTCTTTTGTGAGCTTGCCTTGATACACACCCCACTTGTCCCTCCTTGTCATTCATCGTGTATCTTCTTTGCCATTCTTGTGTTTCTTCCAGGTGTATTCCTTGCCAGGTATCGTTTATCTACCATATGTTTTCCTTGTCATTCACATTTATCCTCCATGTGACTTCTTTTCCATCCATCGTGTTTCTACCATGTGTCGTCCATGCCTGTTATCGTGTACCTTTATGTCCTTCCTTGCCATTCATCGGGTGCATGTACATTCTGCGTATTTTCTGTGTCTTGTTACTACAAGGCATTCTTCAAGTATCGTCCAAACACCTTTATATGTGTTCTAAAACACTAATTAGGATTTAATTAACAAGCTTTATTAAAAGCAGCAGTCTAAGATTTCCGGACGATAGAACTCATATTCACAAGGTATCTGATTATGAAGACTTTACCGGCGGCTGTTTTAGGTCATTTCAGAAGCTAATCATTAAGCAACTTGCTTTCATACGTCATGCGGAGTGTTTTGAAGACGATATTGCATTCATAATTAGACCACGTCATATGGTGTGTGAACTAAACTATGAAGGTACTATGGTGTGTGAACTAAACCATGAATGTCATATGGTGTGTGCTTTAAACAATGTTTACTTAACATACACCTAAAACTGTTCCAGTAAGGTTATAAAATCTATAATACTGCATAAGTCAAAAACAGTAAATTGTCTTATAAAATTAAGCAGTAAATAGAAATAAAAATCAATGATCCCAAGTTAGATAATGGCTTCTAAAACATGTTTTTTTATAATTCTGCAATGTTTACTGTATTACACGAAATTGTCATGTGTACTTTCCTTCCTCCCTTGCACCATTCAAAGACTCCTAAAGGCATTGTACGTGGCAAATTCAGAAAAAAGCAAAACGTAAACAAAGCTATCACATTGGCCAGCACAAGCAATTGGAGAGCGATCAAAGTTCATAATAGTGACACTCTCCCAAATGGGTTTAAAGTGCTACAGAGAAGCTGACAACATGCTTCGAGATTTTGAATTGATTACTCTCATGAAATCACGAAGTCACATAAAAATGAGAGAATCTCGGTCACGAGATATGTAGCCTACAGCAAACACTGTACATGTTCCCGCTGCAATGATGTCAAAAGCAACGTGAAATCTATAGGAAAAAACGCAAAATGTAAACAAGAAACTCTCTACGATGACAACTCGAAAACATCGCAAAATGCTTACATACCTGTGATAAACTGTAGTGCCACGATTATAATCCCTGAGTATGTGCTCAGTTCCTTCATGGTTGCCTTTGGATTTCAATTCATATTCTGTCATCAGTAAACACGGCTACGCATCCCAAACAAACCCAATACATCCTCTGCGCTGTTAGCTGTGCTTTGCCTCAGCACCCAGGTAGTGCGATGCCAATATTGTCTATAGTCAGAGCAGGCGGCGCTGATGCTACGCTTTATAATTATCCTCCTTTACCTCGTGAGGCCATCCGTAGGGACAATTTCCATTTTCACGTACATTAAGAATTCCCAGTCCCCTTTCACTTTAAAATCATACATTGTTAAGGTTTCAAGGAGGAATCATATAATCGGAGGAGATTAACCCGAAACGTTATTATAGAAGATGATTTGCATTATGGGTCCTCTCTTCTCAATTGAATTAACAGAATGTCCTGCTCCTAAAATAGTGTTTTCCTGTTTAAACCATAAAACCGTTTAATAAAGAACTGAAAGTTATGAAAATTACCGGAGAGATTAAGTGAAAGGGTTATCTTCCCTGAATGTCATTCCATGATAGTTTCCCCCTAAAGCTGCGACTACAATGTCATAACAGAAGTAAAATGGAATGACTATGGTGTATGACACAGTGTATTCACACATCCAACATATTATTTCCTTATATCTTTGTGCTGTTGATGCAATACCTTTTCCGATCATTAAATCGACATGTAGTCGCCTTGGTGAAAAGATAGTTATAACAACTTTGTGCCCGGATGTAAGTCTCTTGTTTTTGTGTCTGAATAAATAACGGTATTTAGCGACTGTTTATTCTGACAAATCAACGCATGCATCCTTTCCAAATGCGCTTCAATCCCCTTAAATTACAAAATTGTCAAGAAATTATGATCATTAAAACAGAGACATATTGTTATACAACTATTTCTACAGTTTAATTTCTGTGTGGAAACAATCACGCAAATCAACGTAAAATTGATTTCAAATGTAAAGAAGGTAGATCAGTCCTATAGTACATGTTTGTATGACAATGTACAAGGATATGCTCACATTGGAATAAGTTGTTTGCCTAAAACGGTATTTCTACATTGGTGTGTATCGTTATCAAGTTTATCAAAATATTGAGTGGCCGATTAGGCTGATACGATCACAGAGAGCTCCCCACAAGGCTATTTGACATTTTAAACTTCATTTTTTATTTCAGCCTCGTCAATTAAGGCAGTTTACGCAGCGCTTCTTATCTGCTGATTTCCTGTGTACTGGATTTCGTAACTCTGCACCTGTTCAATCAAATACACTGGTAGATATGGACGGATTCCTGTACAGAAATTGTAAAACCACAAAATTGCAACGATTTAATTTCGAATGGTCTGTCTGCCTTTGAATGGCTAATATGTACCAGCATGCACTCTGATTTAATGTAATTTCATGACAGATGTATTTTTAGTATCATACACTAGCAATGGTGAACGTTATCGCGAAATTCGTCATCCCATTCTATTGCCACTATATTCACTTTTTTTAAGGATCATATTGTATTATATGTACTTCTTTCCAACGTTGAAAAGAATCAAAGGGCCCAAGATGATATCAAAACAAACAGCGAAGCATCGTAAGCCCAATAAATCAGTGTCAACAATAGTTACCCCATAAGGGTGTACAGCGTATCCACATGTGACACCAGTGTTTAGGCAATTTATTTACATTAAACTGTGATTTATTCAAAATGGACGTTATCCTACTTCTCTGAGCATCTCAGTTTAATGAACTTTATATTTACATACTACTAGCTATTTATTCTTAGTCCGTGTGTATCTAAGTTTTATCGAAAATGATACAAATTTCAAGTGATATATAGTCAGTCTGTGGAAGGTGGTCGTTTGAAGGGTGTTGGATTACAAGGTGATAGCTTACAGGCTTATAGTTAGCAATGTGATAGTATACAGGGTATTAGTTAACAGGATATTAGTAAATAATGTGATAGTCTACAGGGTATTAGTTTACAGGCTGATAGTTTACAATGTGATAGTCTACAGGGCATTAGTTTACAGGGTGATAGTTAACAATGTGATAGTATACAGGGTATTAGTTAACATGATATTAGTAAATAATGTGATAGTCTACAGGGTATTAGTTTACAGAAGATAGTTTGCAATGTAATAGTCAATAAGGGTATTGGTTTACAGGGTGATAGTTAGCAATGTGCACGTCTACATGGTATTAGTTTACAGGGTGATAGTTAACAATGTGATAGTATACAGGGTATTGATTTACCGGATGATAGTTTACAATGTGATAGTCTACAGGGTATTAGTTTACAGGTTGATAGTTAACAATGTGATCGTCTACAGGGTATTGGTTTACAGGGTGATAGTTAACAATGTGATAGTCTACAGGGTATTGGTTAACATGCTTATAGTTAACAAGGTGATAGTCTACAGGGTATTAGTTTACAGTGTGATAGTTAACAATGTGATAGTTTACAGGGTATTGGTTTACCGGATGATAGTTTACAATGTGAAATGTGATAGTCTACAGGGTATTAGTTTACAAGGTGAAAGTTAACAATATGATAGTCTACAGGGTATTAGTTTACAGGGTGATAGTTAACAATGTGATAGTTTACAGGGTATTGGTTTACCGGATGATAGTTTACAATGTGAAATGTGATCGTCTACAGGGTATTAGTTTACAGGGTGATAGTTAACAATGTGATAGTCTACAGGGTATTAGTTTACAGGGTGATAGTTAACAATGTGATCGTCTACAGGGTATTTGTTAACAGGCTTATAGTTAACAATGTGATAGTCTACAGGGTATTAGTTTACAGGGTGAAAGTTAACAATGTGATAGTCTACAGGGTATTGGTTTACAAGATGATAGTTTACAATGTGATAGTCTACAGGGTATTAGTTTACAGGGTGATAGTTAACAATGTGAAATGTGATCGTCTACAGGGTATTAGTTTACAGTGTGATAGTTAACAATGTGATAGTTTACAGGGTATTAGTTTACCGGATGATAGTTTACAATGTGATAGTCTACAGGGTATTAGTTTACAGGGTGATAGTTAACAATGTGATCGTCTACAGGGTATTAGTTTACAGGTTGATAGTTGCCAATGTGATAGTCTACAGGGTATTGGTTAACATGCCTATAGTTAACAATGTGATAGTCTACAGGGTATTAGTTTACAGGGTGATAGGTAACAATGTGATAGTATACAGGGTATTGGTTAACATGCTTATAGTTAATAATGTGATAGTATACAGGGTATTAGTTTACAGGATGATTGTTTACAATGTAATAGTCTACAGGGTATTAGTTTACAGGATGATAGTTTACAATGTGATAGTCTACAGGGTATTAGTTTACAAGGTGAAAGTTAACAATATGATAGTCTACAGGGTATTAGTTTACAGGATGATAGATAACAATGTGATAGTCTACAGGGTATTGGTTAACATGCCTACAGTTAACAATGTGATAGTCTACAGGGTATAGTTAACAATGTGAAATGTGATCGTCTACAGGGTATTAGTTTACAGGGTGAAAGTTAACAATGTGATAGTCTACAGGGTATAGTTAACAATGTGAAATGTGATCGTCTACAGGGTATTAGTTTACAGGGTGATAGTTAACAATGTGATAGTATACAGGGTATTAGTTAACAGGATATAAGTGAATAATGTGATAGTCTACAGGGTATTAGTTTACAGAAGATAGTTTGCAATGTAAAAGTCAATAAGGGTATTGGTTTACAGGGTGATAGTTAACAATGTGATAGGGGTATTAGTTTACAGGTTGATAGTTGCCAATGTGATAGTCTAGAGGGTATTGGTTAACATGCCTATAGTTAACAATGTGATAGTCTACAGGGTATAGTTAACAATGTGAAATGTGATCGTCTACAGGGTATTAGTTTACAGGTTGATAGTTGCCAATGTGATAGTCTAGAGGGTATTGGTTAACATGCCTATAGTTAACAATGTGATAGTCTACAGTGTATTAGTTTACAGGGTGATAGTTAACAATGTGATCGTCTACAGGGTATTAGTTTACAGGGTGAAAGTTAACAATGTGATAGTATACAGGGTATTAGTTAACAGGATATTAGTAAATAATGTTATAGTCGTCATGGTATTAGTTTACAGGATAATAGTTAACAATGTGATAGTATATAAGGGTATTAGTTTATAGGATGATAGTTAGTTTACAGGATGATTGTTTACAATGTAATAGTCTACAGGGTATTAGTTTACAGGATGATAGATAACAATGTGATAGTCGTCATGGTATGAGCTTACATGATAATAGTTAACAATGTGATAGTATATAAGGGTATTAGTTTATAGGATGATAGTTAGTTTACAGGATGATTGTTTACAATGTGACAGTCTACAGGGTATTAGTTTACAGGGTGATAGGTAACAATGTGATAGTATACAGGGTATTTGTTTACAGGATGATATTTAACAATGTGATAGTATACAGGGTATTAGTTTACAGGATGATTGTTTACAATGTAATAGTCTACAGGGTATTAGTTTACAGGGTGATAGTTAACAATGTGATAGTCTACAGGGTATTAGTTTACAGGGTGAAAGTTAACAATATGATAGTATACAGGGTATTGGTTTACAGGCTTATCGTTAACAATGAGATAGTCTACAGTGAACCGTTTTTCATGCTAATAGCTAACAATATGATAGTCTACAGGGAATTGGGTAACATGCTTATAGTTAACAATGTGATAGTATACAGGGTATTTGTTTACAGGATGATATTTAACAATGTGATAGTATACAGGGTATTAGTTTACAGGATGATTGTTTACAATGTAATAGTCTACAGGGTATTAGTTTACAGGGGGATAGTTAACAATGTGATAGTCTACAGTGGTGAACCGGTTTACATGCTAATAGCTAACAATATGATAGTCTACAGGGTATTGGTTAACATGCTTATAGTTAAAAATGTGATAGTCTACAGTAAACCGTTTTTCAGGCTAATAGCTAACAATATGATAGTCCACAGTGTATTAGTTTACAGGGTGATAGTAAACAATGTGATAGTCTACAGTGTATTGGTTTATACGCTTATAGCTAACAATATGATAGTCCATAGTGTATTAATGTACAGTCTAATAGTTAACAATGTGATAGTCTACAGTTTATTGGTTTACAGGATGATAGATAACAATGTGATAGTC